GGCGACGTTTTGTGAGCTGGAGCTCTAGTTATTAGTCTTACACTTGGAATTAAATTTAAAATAGTACAGTATTTAAAATTTATAAATTGCTATATATTACTTATAAGATTACATCTATACTAAATTTATAATAAAAGTAATTTTGCTTTATTATTCTTGTGACAAATGCATATTTGCTATAATATTTGTAATCTGTCAAAAGAAAAAGAACCATTAAAAAGGACTTCAGCAAATGTGCAGATCTTTTATACATCTACAAATATAATATTAGTTGCGAGTTCTTTATCCAAGATTTATTGCGTAGTTGCTCAAGCAAGACATAAAAGAAATTACATGGGAGAGCAAGTCCTTTATTTTTCATTCCAAGTACAATATATTTAATAGATTGAATCGGTCCTCTTGGTTATGGTCCGTATAATAATTCATTTTAATCAGAATTGCATAGACAATTAAAGTGGCATTTATCAGAAGTTAGTTAATCTATGGTTAAAGTTAGCTATTGTATTTAAATCAAGATTTCGATATTCAAACATTGAGCCTAATTTTGGTCCAATGTCTGAATATTGCCCAGGATATTTAACTCAAGATTCAGGTATCCAAACGTTGAACCTAAGATTTGAGTCCTATGATTAAACCTAAAATTTTGACCAGAATGAAGCGGGAACTGGGCATTCCTAGAATTTAGTAGAGTATGACACAATATTTTTTTATTAAAGTCAGTTATATATTCTGTTAAAGTTAGCCATTATATTTTAACTCAAAATTCAGGTATCCAAACGTTGAACCTAACTTAGGTTCGATTCTGGTAAAATTTTTGGATCGGGATGAGGCGAAAACGGACTTTTCGAAAATTCAGTATAGTAAGGCTTGAAGGCTTTCACTTCGTTCCCCTCAGCTCCAGCCAATAACCGAAGAAAAAAATTATAAGTAGGGCAATAATTATGCTTAAGATCTGCGACAACATATCGAAACCTTTTGAGGTCAAGAGTTGACATGCGGTTGATATTTGTTTCCTAAAATAATTTATTGTCTGGGATGATGCTGAAATTTTAACTTATTTTATTATGAAAATTTAAAATTTTTTGGGGTGTTTTGATCAGCTTTTTTTTTTTATAGTTCGATTAGAATTTAGGGTTATTGTTTATGATAAAATAGTATAGATGGATTTTATTATATTTTCAAATTAAGATCCCAAATTTCAGCATCATCTTCGACATTTATTACATCTTAAACTTAATGATTTCATTCAAAATTTGATTTAAATATTTTTTTTAAATTACCTTCTTCATTTATATTCTATTAATAAAAAAGTCCGCTGCTATATTTCACATATGATTTATTAAAAGTCAGTTATTATTTTCTATTAAAGTCAGCTACTATATTTTAAACCAAGAATTCGGTATCCAAGCATTGAACCTAATTTTGGTTATTTGAACCTAAAATTTGGGTTACGTGAAGCGGGAGCCGGACATTTCCGAAAATTCGTAGAGTATAGCTTGAAGGCTTTCACTTCACTCCCCTCAGCTCCAGCCAATTAATTAAATCAGTTTTAAATGGTTTGCATCAATATTGTACATGCACGAAAATTTTCGTAAACAATGTTCAGCAAATTTAAGTTCACGAGGATTCATATCAAATTTCATTCATTAGTTACTTTCATTGTTAAGGATTTCTTCCGGATAATAATTGAGATAATGCACTAGCAAGAAATATAATTAATTGGAATGATTAATATAAAAATATTGTTGAAGAGAAAACAGATTCAAATTTTGATCAAAAAATGGCATATACCCTTCTATAGTATATCTAATTAAAACGTTTTTTTAAATGACATTACGGACGATGTTTAAGTAATACATATGATCTGATAAAAATTATACTTATAAAAAATTATTTTATTATTTTTATTTATGTAATAGATTCAGAAATGCTCTTTTGTAACACGAAATTGGTGTGTAACTAAATTTACTTTCACGAGTTCTTCTGTTTATTGTTATACATAACGCGTACATACAAACCTCTTCAATTGGTAATAGTTATCCTTTTTTGGATTTATAATAAAAGAGAAAGAATTGTCTTTAGTACATTCAATTATAAGGCGTTAAGTAATCTGTTTCATTATATAAAATGAGATATTTTCCAATTTAAAATTACATTATTTATACAAAATTTATAATTTCTTATACATAAAATTAATCAAAATAAGAAATATATTGCTGGTATTTATTTACTTTCATAAAGTAGTCGCAAAAATGATTCAGAAAAATGCTATACGACAAATTTCTTCCATATTTTAAGAATTATTCGATAAGTTTAAACGAATGCTATAAGTATCAAGACTCGTTTATACTCAAACGGACTAGCCGTATTTAATTGAATGCTACAATCATAGCATTCATTTAATAATAATCATCTAAAACGGATCAGCCGTTCACGAAATATTGGCATCATATTTTTTTTACAAACAATTGCTTATTTGACTTTCGACTTTAATTTCAACGTTTAACATCATTTAATTGTTATATTTCGAAAACGGCTAATTTATTTTCGACCGTTTTATGTTTAAATAAATCCTACAATCCATAGCCTTCGTTTAAGCATATAATAAACAAAAATGGATCTAGATTTCTCAATTTATAAAATATACGACGTAAACATTTATTTCCGGACCTTTTTGCGGCTACTATAATGAAATTAAATATTTCAAACGTACAAATATTTGTATCAAATATTAACATTATATTTCTCATTTATTTTATTATTTATTTGTTTTTTAAATAAATTAAATAGAATGTCTTTAAATCTTGATTGATTATACCACACTATAATACTAATAGTCAGTGAAATAAAAAAATCATGGATGAGAAAAGTGAAGGGTAACTATTTACAAATATATAATTTGATGGACCTAAATTTTTGCTATTTCTTTTTTTCGCCCAATTATGAAAACTATTATTATACTATATAATATATAACTTTAATTATAAATAGATTGATGGGATGGTTAAAAAAACATATAGAAATTCTTCATTCCGATGAAAAAGTTATTAGTGCTTTTAAGCATTTAGAAGAAAATATCAAAAGATCCCAAATTGTATCCAGAACTTAATTGGGATGCGACTGTCAGGTAATACATTCTAAAATTTTTTTTTTTGATAATAATTTTTTTTGTTTGACTTACTTTCATGTAACCGTTTGTAGGAAGTCTAATGATCTTTGCGAAGATGAAAAGAAATTTGTCCATGATAGAAAATTCTACATTCGTGAAGCTTTCGCAAAATACGTTGGTGTTGAAGTTGATGAGATCCATCCTGATGACATTCCTATAATTGCATTAACGGGTAGCGGGGGTGGGTTTAGGTCTATGATTTGTGCCACTTGTAGGTCTCAAAAATTACCTCTAATTAATTAATACTGTATAACAGATCATTCATTTTTACTTTAGTTTAATTTTTAATTAAATAAAGCATATTTTCGTGCTATTCAAGAAAGTGGACTTTATGATTGTGGCATGTATATTTCAGGTAAATATTTTAATAAATCAGACATTCAATATTATAGTAATTGATTTATCAGAATACTGATTAATATAGGTGTTAGTGGAAGTGCCTGGAGTGTCGCTCAGCAATATACTTCAATGAGTAATACAAATAAAAATCCAATTCAAGCACAAATTGAATATTATCGAACAAAACTTGACCATAGTATCATTGATGCTGTAAAAGTTTTTAATGCACTTGCTGATACTTCTGCTCCACAAGGAGCTGTTGAACTAGCTTTTGGAGGTTTAGTTCAGAAAAAAGACTCTGGAATTCATTTATCACTTGTAGATATCTATGGCGCATTATTAGGCGCAAAGTTGTTAATAGGTCATGATCCTACTATTCAGTCCTTAGACTTTAAAATGAGTTCACAAAAGAAATACGTAGAGGGTGGAAAAAAACCCTTACCATTATATGCAGCGTGAGTTTTTATTTCCAATTTATTTTAATCCTATTTTCTCAGTACTAAAAATTTTGATATTTGTATGAAATTCAGAATTTACAATAATCGTCCATGGAAAGATTACCTTGAGCCAGAATATGCAGCTTTAATTCCAGATTATGAACAAGTCTTAGAAAGACACAAAATGAAAAATGGTTATTTTCAATGGTACGAATTCACACCTTTTGAATTTGGTTGTGAGGAATTTCCTGGTGAGTATTATAATTAATTATTTATTTAATGAGATGTTTAAAATGAATTAGATTAAAATGAAATCTTGGTCAATTTTAATTAGAAATTTATAAGTTTTGATAATTTTTTGGGTGCATTATTTTTTATTAATTTAGGGGTAGGATTATTAATAAAAAGTATATGTAGAATTTAGTGGCTTAAAAAAAACTTCGGATTTCATTTTATTCTAGATTTTCCTTTATTATTCAAAGTTTATTGTATCTTCTTAAAATTAAAATTTATAAATTTATTAATTTGAATACATAAAATACAGCCTATATTCCTACATGGGCGTTTGGACGAAAATTTGAATCCGGGAAAAATATTTCAAGAATACCTGAACAAAACCTTGGACTCTTACTTGGGTAAGTATAAACTATTAACTAAATATTGCTGTATAACTATTCTCATCATAAAATTCTAAATATTGCTGTATAACTATTCTCATAATAAAATTATAGCTTACTAGGATCATCACCAGCTGGGACACTTAAGTTTGATCTCCGAGAGTTTGAAATGACTCTCCCTGATGGAATAAAATCCGAATTTGGGAAAATATCTAAAGAAGTTAATATTTCTCATTTTGCTTGTTTACCAATAAGTTTATTAATAAGTTTGTTGGCAAGTTGTCTATTAAGATTATTGATTTTGTTTTATTTATGATATTTATAAGGTACAAGACAAACTCGGTGAACATGAGAAGGATGTTTTTGAAAGAATTCATCTAATCCCACCAACAAATAATCATAATTATTCTTATCATCTTTATCCACCACCATATGAACTTGGTATTAACAGTTTACGAAATCTTCCAATCTTAGATCCAGCACCTAGCAATGAACTTCCAATGTATCCATTAACTAATCCAAGTCGAAAAATTGATATAATTGTTGGTTTTAATTCTGCACGTCAAGTAATTGAACATGAATTATTTGATGAACAACAAATTGAATTTTGTAAAAGACGAGGTTATGATAGAATTGCTCGAGATATTTCTAATAAACATTGCGAGATTTATGATTATATTCCTAATGGTAAAGCAACTGGTCATAATCTACAAGCCACAAATCCAACTGTATTTTGTCATATGCCATTTTTGAAAAATGATAAGGTGGATCCTACATTTGAGCCACTTAATGCAAATTTTACAAATACTGCAAATTTTGTTTATACAACTGAACAAGTTAATTTAATGTTTAACGTAGCAAAACAAAATTGACTTGATAATGAACATAAAATCAAAGAAGTTATCATTGAAAAATGGAAAAAGAAAAGATTTGATAGGCAATTCAATCAAAATTATCAAAATTAAATTAAAGTTATGGATTTAGGAAGCTTTTCATATGTTGTAAAATTTACTGATATTGACATTATTTACTCTTTATTTATTTATTTATTCATTTATTCATTTATTTATTTATTTATTTATTTATTTATTCATTTATTTGTTTATTTATTTGTTTGTTTATTTATTTAAAATATATTTATATATAATTATCTAAAATAAAAACCCATTTAGCATTATTTTTAGAAATAATTTTATAGTAATACAAAAGTTATGCACCATTATTTACGTTATTGACATTACGTATTAGTTAACGCTAAGTTGTATTTTCGTATCAAAAATCCAATTTGAAAAATCATGTCTGTCTGCACGTTACTTTAATGATATAAATTATGTAATAAGATAGCTACACAATTTAGTTGCCCGAAACGAAATTGATCGTTTATATAAATTATTCCCAATTCATCGTAAGGCCGAGAAAAGAAACTAACGACACTTAGCAAAACAATATATTTAATGGTTTGGCATAAATTCTGAAACATAGGACGTTCTTAATCGCCTTAATCAATGAGTCAAAATGTGCTTGGAAATGTCGGAAATTAAATTCTAATTAGTAGAAATTATTCAACCGATCAAACGTGCTCTTCAATAAGGCGAATAAAGTACTGGACATGCGACAAAGAAAAATTTAAAATGAGTGATGATCTAGAAAAATAGTAGTTTTGGTCAAATTTTTTTTATTAACGCACTTATACGGCACCTCAACTCTGTAATCATGATTTTACTAATTTTAGAAAATACCATTAGAGTTTGAAACTCGGTTTAATTTTCTTATGTTAAAAACTGGTTTCAATCACTCTTAACAGATTTAAATACCAACTTTTGAGTAGAAATAAGTCGCAAACCGTAACTGATGCTACAGTCTGAAGCAAAAACTTATATTCATAACCTAAAATAATAAGTTCGGTTTTGAAAAAGGATTGTATAATATTTGTATAATATTTGTGTTATATGTACAAAAATGTTTAAAAAGTGCCATTCTGTCTAGTTTTTGTCCGATTTTATTTTATTTGAAATAAAATAAAGATTAGAAATAATTAGAATGAAACACTTTAACCATTTTTTGCTCATCTATATCACAAATATTATATAATTGTTATTGTTCAATTAGATGACTTTATCTAAATGAAGAAAAAACATATGAGGATTCCATTCGCTATCAGTTACAAGCACTACACCATTATTATTAGAATATAGAATTCTCCATATAATCTATTGCATTTTCACAGAGAAATGCAGCAAAGCGGACCACATAGCTATAATGAGAATCGGTTAATTAGCATCATATAGTAATGTAGATTTGTCACTTACCCATAGATCCTTGCACTGCTATCTCAGCCACGGAGCCTAATCACAACATGAGGTCTTTACACTGCTATCGCAGCCGTGGAGCATAAACATATATAAAGCCCTTGCACTGCTATTGCAGCCGCAGAGCTTAATCATAAAATATGAGGTCCTTGCACTACTACTGTAGCCTCAGAGCCTAATCACAATTTGAGGTCCTTGCACTGCTACTGCAGCTGCAGAGCCTAAACATAATATAAAGTCTTTGCACTGCTATTACAACAATGAAGCTTAATCATCAAATATGAGGTCCTTGTACTACTACTGTAGCTGTGGAGCCTAATCACAATTTGAGGTCCTTGTACTGCTACTACAGCTGTGAAGCCTATCACAGCATGAGGTCCTTGCACTGCTATCACAGTCATAAAGCATAAACATAATATAAAGTCCTTGCACTGTTATTACAGTCACAGAACTTAATTATCAAATATGAGGTCCTTGCATTACTACTGTAGTTATGGAGTCACCGAGCTTAATCACAACATAAGGTTTTTGCACTGCTATTGCAGCTGCAGAGCCTAATCACAACATGAGGTCCTTGCTCTGCTATCACAGTCACAAAGCCTAAACATAAATATGAGATTCTTGCATTTTCATTGCAACTGTGGAGCTTAATCCTTATATGAGGTCCTTACACTACCACTGTAGCTGTGGAGTCTGATCATAATATGAGGTTCTTGCATTGCTATTGGAATTGCAAAGTCTAATTACAACATGATGCTCTTGCATTGCTATTACAGTCACTGAGACCAAACATAATAAGAGATCTTTACACTGCTATTGCAGCTGTAAAGTATAATCAATAAATATAAGGTATATACAAGAGTTACAATATATAATAAGGAATAAATAAAGAAAATATGTAAAAAACTATGTGATAAATAAAAACAAAGAAGATATATAAATACAACAATTGAATAGTTATATAAAGCAAAATATAATATAAACTTTTAAAACAGAGCTTATTATAGTAGAACAAGCAAAAGTATAAATAGGTATACTCTATAAAGAATTAGGATAATATAAGGCAGGAGAAATTAAATATATAGAACTTGCATCTAGAAAAAGAACAAAACAGAGTATCAAGAAGTTATACAGATAGAAACTAATTTACTTAAATATATTATATATAGAGAAATAAATAAAATTATAAGAAGTTTATGTATAGCAAAATGAATAACTGATAAGATAAATATTATGCAACAAGAAAAGACAAGCTGCTGAGTATATCAAGCAAAAATTAGAATCTTGATTGTATAAGAAACTAAAAACAAAGGAAAATTAGCAAAAACAGTATAATGAAACAGTACTAATATTATTATTACAGCAATTTAAAGAATTTATCAAAATAACTACAATAAAACAATATAAAGAAAAAGAAAAAAATTAAAAAAAAGAATACAGATTCAATAAAAAAAAACCATAGAATAAAAATAACAAAAAAGTAAAAAAATATTTACAGCATCGAACTCTTTCTAACGATCATCAAAACACAATTTTTATAGAAAAACAAAAACACAAATCAACAGAACTCAATAGCAGCACTAAGAAGTACAGCTTACTTACTAAGTAAAGAGGAAGTAGACATAAAACAACACTCTATCTCTTAGGAAACTAGAGTTGAGAAGTCAAACCTATTAAGATATAGAAGGAACACTTGAAAATACAACAGTTTTTGTTGTCTGTAAGCAATTTTCTGGGGAAAGCACTTGACTCTGTAGAATATATCTGTTGATTTGATACAACTATGCAACATGTAATAAAAAGAAAATAATAAAAACACATAAAGCAGCACATGATGAAGACAACAAAGAAAACAACAACAATAGAGAAGCTGAGTCATGTGGAGTAAACTAAAAAAGAAACTTATAGAAATATTTGAAAACTACAAATTTTAATAGCTGCAAGATGTGTACTAGAGAACTTATTAGAGAAAGTAGACAAAGACAAGCTAGAAGATTACAAACAAAAATATAGAACACAATATAGCAAAGACACAGAAGAAGAATTAGATTACAGGTATCACAACTAAATTGTGAAGGACAAAATAGAGGCCTTTTTACCAAACATTACAGAAGAAGATCTTTATATACTAGATGCTGTAATAAATTATTTGCTACTATTAAAGGAACAACATGAGAAAAGACTGAAAAAATGATGCTTAGAAAATTTAAACAAATAAAGAAAAGACAAACAAGTCAAGAAGAACAAGAAAACAATACAAGATATGGCCAAAAAATTCAAGTTTAAGATAAAGAAAATACTTAGAAAATAGGCAAGAAAAAAGAAAGAAAACCAGAAACAACTGATAAAGACAGAAGCAAAGAAAACTATAGGGAAGGATATAGAAAGAATTAAAATAAAAAAAGTTTTAGAAAGAATCAATATAAAAACACAACACAATATAATTAGAACAAAGCAAAGCATAGTTTATGGTAAAATATTGGATACAGGAAGTATAGTAAAAATACAAGAGTTACAAAGGGTCTTAAAGAAACTGTGGAAGAAACAAGAAAACTGGGATCTAATTATAGAAAGTAACAACAACATAGAAGAAATTTGGAAAAACCTAGAGCCAAATACAAAAGGAAAGACAGTGAAGCAAAAAAGAAACCTAGACCTGAAAATAGAAAAAGAAAGAAAGCTAAAAACAAGAAACAAGTATATTACTCAAAGCCAAAAAGACAGAAAAGTTTATAGAAGAAGTAAAAAGAAATATCAAAACTATACTAAAAGAATTTTAAGAAGAAAAAGGCAAAACCAATATGTAAAAAAAGAAAGAAAACAAGCTAACAAAAAAGAAAAATAACAAACTAGAAAAAAAAAAAGAAGAAAAAAGCACCTAGAGAAAAGATAGAAATGCAGAATATCAGTTTATAAGAAATAACAATAACTCTTAATAAAAAAGATAAATTTTCAGAAAAAGAAAAAGAAAAAGAAGCAAAATGGACAATTAGAAGAAGGAGGAAAAACAGCATCCAATCAATATAGAAGATCAGAATATCGAGCCCAAAGAAAAAAGAAAATATACTTAGAAAAGAAATACTCAAATCAAAGCAACAAAAAGTC